TAATTGGCTTATACTGTATTAAAGAATTATATTGCTAAATCTTCCATCCGGAAGGCACCCGGGTAGAAATAGAGGTGGTGAACAGTGTGGGGAGAGCATCAGGCTTGATGGATTTGGTATAACCAAGCCATGCCTGGGCTTTCAAAATCCTTATTTCTTGGTTCCGTCTGCATGGCCACAAGTTGTAGGGAGGGAACATTCATGAGGGAATAAGTGTGCACATTCGAAATAACCTATTGTCTTTATACAGTGGACCTACCCGATCAGGCCTTGCCCTTTCTGTTCATTGCCAAAGAAGTAAATCTGCAGGCTGTCGTGACCTCGGGCCTCCTCCTGTGTCCAACTCACCTTTCTCTGATATCCATTTCTTTTGCTTGGAACTGGGACAGTCACTGAACCTCCACCATATTCATGATGGTAATGGGATGCAGCATTACTGCCTTGACTCTTATTTGAATCAGTGCCTGTGCTAAAAACCAATGCGTGGACACCAAGATTGGCATCTGGTGGGAGCTTCGGTCTCTGGTTTGGACCAACAGATTTCCAAATTGTGTGTATGCCATTTATTTGCTAAGCTCTGGACAAACTGCATAGGTAATTTAGGAGACCCCTTATTCCTCCAGGTTTCTGTTCAAATGTCCCCTTATCACGAAGCCCTCCTTCTCTGACCACTGGATGCAAAATAACTCTGCCTTCTTCCCACCTGTCACCCACTTCCTAGCACATTATCTCCACTTGAAATATATTTATTCGTTTATTTGTTATCCCACTAAAATGTACAGCCCGTGAGAGCAAAGGCTTTGTCTCTTTTGTCTATTGTGATATTTTATCACCTAGAATAGCATGGGGCCTGTAATATATGGCCAATGGGAATTTGTGGAACAGACGCAGAATGGTATGAGGGGTGCTACGTGGTATGCTGCCAGTCTACTGTAGAAGGGCCTGGTTCCCAGGAGAAAGCACAGTGCCCTCTATAGCTGCTCTCCAATTCTTAATTTCTTTGAGCAAACATTTATCAAGTGCTTGGGACCAGGTGTTAAAGGTGCTCTTAGGGTTCAAATATTGGTAGAGGATGTAGACATTTAAATTAAATCCATCCTTTAAGATCCAGCTCTGGTATCAGCCCCTCCTGGGGGCCTTTCTTGAACAGGCTTCTTCCCCAAAGCTAGGTTAGGCACCATTCTTACCGTGTCCCATAGCATCCTGTACAGGGCCTTATCGTGGCCCATATGTAAAGCAGACAAGTACCACACAACGTGCTTTGTGTTTCCCCTTAAGAGCTCCTTAAGCGCGAGGATTACACCTTACTCATCACTGGCTATAGTGTTGGACACACAGAGTCCTCAGTAAACACCAGTTATCCTTGTTATCACTGCTGTTACTATGTGCATTCAGTAACCAGCATTCACGTAGCTGTGGACGTGTGTGATCTCAATTGAAAAACTGTATCTGTTCTAGGGATGTAAAGAAAGTTGTTAAAAGAGTCAATCCTAAGAGTTCTCATCACAAGGAAAAAATTGTTTTCTCTTTCTTTAATTTTGTACATATATTAGATGACGGATGTTTTCTAAACTTACCGTGATAATCACTTCATGTTGTATGTAAATCAAATTATTATGCTGACCTCCCTGTGCTACGCGGCTGCTTCCCACTAGTGACCACCTAGAGGGGTGGGATAGGGAGGGTGGGAGGGAGACGCAAGAGGGAGGAGATATGGGGATATATGTACATGTACAGCTGATTCACTTTGTCGTACAGCAGAAACTAACACACCACTGTAAAGCAATTACACTCCAATAAAGATGTTAAAAAAATTATCACGGTGCTTACCTTAAACTTATACAGTGCTGTGTGTCAATTATATCTCAATAAAACTGGAAGAAAAAACCCCAGAATTATAGGAAGAAATGAAGAGCATTGGAAATGGTGAATATAAAATAAAGCAAAAACAAAACTATATCTGTTCTTCTGAAGATATATAAGGCTTAGAAGCAGCTCTGTATTATGTTATACAGTATTATTTAATGTTATGTTCTATAATAGTCTCCATTTCAAGCTCTCCTTGTGTTCTGGGGGATGCAGGGATCACTTAGACTGGTCTAGGATCTTTACAAAGAGTTCTCCGGGGACTCCCTGCATCCCCAGAGGCCAGCCAAGGCTCTGATGTACTTTAATAATGATTTTCTATGTGCAGAGGTTAAGAGCGCCTCTGAGCCTGGAGCACATGTTTAACTTCAAGAGGGCAAGTGACAGGCTTCTCTCAGTACTTGTGGGTTCATGACATTTTGATGCTGCCACTTTGATGAGGCAGTTTTGATTCAGGGCTTCAGGGACATTTTGTCATGGCTTAAAAGACAAATCATTAAACATACAGCGATTTTGTGCAACTAAGAAGTGTGGCCAGTAGGCATCCGGCCACGCTGCTGGATCGGGTGTGTACGTTAACCTAATATTTGTGTGTTTTCACTTGGACACGGCTGCCTTGATGCTTGACACTTTCATCACATCATACGGATCCTGCCAGGATGTCTGGTTTAAATACGTGTGAGTCTCACTGAAATACCAGCCACGTGCCTGATTCTAACTTCGGTGGCAGGAGGGCTTCGAATGAAGCAGAAGGCAGGGGATTCCGCTCTCAAGGGGCTCCTAGAGTTTTTGCCAAGGGCTGGCTAACGAACGCATTCACCACTTCTGAACGCGTACGGCCCCCATTCTCCGTTGGCAGCTTCCTGGTTTACAGCTTCAGATTACTGGCTGGAGAAGTGTTTAAAAAATATAAAAAGATCCTAATGCAAGCATAGAAATATGGTCTATCCGTGTTAAAAAGATGGTTTTGATCATTTTCCCTGCTGTGCTGTAAAAAGAACTTTTCCGTCTGTTTCACTTGGTGACGGGAGGAAGTGGTACTTACTGCTCACCGGTCAGAAAGCCCCCGTCTGCTTGCTGTGAGCTTCACGCCCTATTTTCTTCTTTAGACTGTCTGAGCGATCATTAACACACACGTATGCCGGATAGAGATCGCCCCCAGACTAACCAGATGAGTAGAATATTAGGCCATTAAGGGAAGCCCAAGAAGCTTATATTTTGACTAATGTTATCATCTGGGCGTCCTACCAGACCATGTCACATTACTCCTAGTTTTAAAATATTCTGTTATTTATTTATTTATAATTTTTATTTTTTATTGAAGTAGAGTTGATTTACAATGTTGTGTTAGTTTCAGGTGCACAGCAAAGTGATTCAGTTATACATATACATATATCCATTCTTTTTCAGATTCTTTTCCCATATAGGTCATTACGGACTATTGAGAAGAGTTCCCTGTGCTATACAGTAGGTCTTTGTTGATTATCTATTTTATATATAGTAGTGTGTATATGTTAATCCCAAACTCCTAATTTATCCCCCCCTGACCTTTCCCTTTGGTAATCATAAATTTGCTTTCTAAATCTGTAAATCTGTCTCTGTGTTGTAAATAAGTTCATTTGTATCGTTTTATTCTGGAAGCAAGTATATTAGGCAGCCTGTTATGAAAAAGTAAGTCTTGTGTTGGGTCCCTGGTCTTGACTCTGAGACTCTGGAAGCTAAGCTTGGTGTCTTGAAAGAACGATGGTGCAACTGGGTGGGTCCCCGAACTTAAATGTCACGCTTGTCGTGAATGTTCCCTGGAGAAAGGAACCACTTGTGTTGGCTGCCGTGCCAGGCCCCCAACATACATTATCATGTTTAACTTCCACAAGGTAGGCCTCGAGCCCTTCTTTCTATAAACAACACAGCTAGCAAGTGATAGAGTCATGATTTGAACCCAGGCTCTCTGTTTCCAAAACCCACACCATTTCCATTATAACCAGTGATTCCAGACCACTAACCTGAAGAGTTCTGTTGGTTCCAAAGGAAGATCTCCCCAGTCTGTGGTGAGAATATCTGGGTGAAGCTGACACCTGCCTATCTGGGAAGGTATTGTCATTTATTCGGAGACTGTGACTTGTCTTTCTAGGTGTTAAAGAACTTGTTTTGTGTGTTTGTCACATGACGGTGGTGGTAAATGGCAGCTAACAAAGGCGTCCTAAGACGTCAAAGTGAAAACTTGGCCTCCTATGTTGGTCCCCAAGCTTAAATTTGAAATCTTACTGGCCTGGGAAGTGACATAGCTGGAAAAAAAGGCAGTATACTCATTATCCTGGCAAGGGCTCCATTGGCAGAGTCTTAGCATAGCTTGGGTTCACATGGGGTTTTTCTGGAAGAGGGCTGGGGTGCCTCTACGGGTGAAGGTGATCGCGTGCTTCTTAAAGCCATACTTCTTTGACACGGGGTAGCATGACTATTGGCAGCTTAGAGGAGTCCTGATAATGCAAGTGACCTTTTAAAAACCACAATGGAATGAATTTTTTTTTTTACTAGATAAACCATCTTTTCCAAAAGAGAGGTAAAACTTGGACTGCTAGCATTTATGACTTTTCTGTGTCCAGAATGGGGAAGGCTTGAGCTCAGAGGCATTTAATTTAGCGGTGACTTAGGCTGCGACGCTCCTGGCCTTGGATTATTCAAAAGCCATCTTCTTGCTGTTGATACAAGAATGAAAGAGCTCAGGTTTTGAAGCCAGGCATATATGGAGTTTGACTATCCATTCCTTTTAGCCTGTGACCCTGGGCAAATTACTTTCTGTAAAACAGGGCAGAGATACTTGCCTCAGAGAGTTACCATGGTGGGCAACTCTTGGAAAAACCTCCCACTGCCTATGTGATGCCTTTTTCTGTGATGATCCAAGATAATAGGGATAAAAGCACTTGGCGTGTTCGTGTTCGGTGTGTCCTAGTAACCTGCTTATAGGCAAACTGGAATTCAGGGTGCCCTGAATTGCCCTGGTTTTTACTTTTCTGCCCATGGTTCCAGATTCCCAGCTGTGCCTGGGGAAGGTTGTTTCACCTCCTACAACCTGAGACCCTCAAACTGCAGAGATGCCCAGTGGACTCTAAGCACTGCCTCCCCTTCTGTTTTAGTGCCAACAACATGCCCAAGCAGGTGGAAGTACGGATGCACGACAGCCACCTCAGCTCGGAGGAGCTGAAGCCCCGGCATCTGGGGCTGCGCTTGTGTGACAAGCTGGGGAAGAATCTCCTGCTCACGCTGACCGTGTTCGGTAGGTGACAGGCCTGCCCCACCCTCCCCTCTTCCCCTGGTCTCTCCTGGCTAAGTGTGGAAGCTGGTTCTGGAAGCCAGCCCTCACCCTGGAAAGCAAGCCACACACACTGCCTAACTCTGCCTTTACCCAGGCACGGCTGCCTCAGTGATGCCATCTTCCCTGCCACCTGCCCTAGCCATGTTTGCACCCTTGGGATTCTTGTGGTTCTCAGATTTCAGTATGCGTGTACATTTCCCATGGGTATGTCAGCATGCAGGTTCCCAGGCCCTACTCACAGAGACTCTGGGCCACTTGGAGTGAGACCTAGGAATCTGCATCTTAGCAAACCTTCTAGGTGATTCCAAAGCAGATGGTCAGTATACCACATTTAGAGAAGTACCTGTGTCCAGAAAAAGGCAACAGTTGCCCTAAACCCCACTAACAGGGCTCCCAAGGTCTGACCTTCTTCAAGCACCTCATTAACTTAGATTCAGTTAGCACATTGGCTAACGAGGTCCGTGTGGAAGAGACTTGTCCCAAAGCCTTGATCCACTCCAGCTCCACCTCAAAAGCCTTACTCCCCTGCCTCTGGCCTCACCCAAGCTCTGGTTGTCCTTTTGTGTGACTGTTGATACAGACTTGGCCTTGGGTTTTCAACCAGGATTGATTGAAAATGGGGAAAGTTGCGGTTTCTTATAGTGACAACCACATCTTTTCCTTTCTCAACTCCCCCTCCTTGTTCTTCAACTCTTATGAGGCTATACAGTGAAGCAATGAAGAGCCATCTACACACACACACACACACACACACACACACACACACACATCGTCCATGGCTTCTCCTTCAAGTCAGTCATCTTGGATGTCGGTGGACTAGAGTCAGGACTGGGAACTTGCCCCCCAGCTCAGTTCACTTAATAGAAGAAGACCACAGGTGTGGTAGGGTTTTCCAAGGGTTACCCTCCACAGAAGCAAATTTCATTCATCATAGGTTTTGAAGAAGTGTGTTTTTCACCTGTGGAGGAAAAAAAGATAAGGCTTTTGGCCATGTTACTCCCTTTGCATATCTGGCATTAACACCATAGCCACATATCTAGGACCTCCCTCCCCCTCTTACTCCAGAAGGTAGTTTATGTTGGCCACCAGTTTGGAGAGATCCAAGGTTTTCTTGTGGAATCCCTGCGTATGCAAAGTGAAAGGCTCCTGCTAGCATCTCTGCCCAAATTGTTTCCTCCCAAATTATATATTTTTAGACACCCCCTTTGACCTCTCCTAAGATCAGCAAGTCTCAAAATCATGTACAAGGACATAGAAGTCAAAGACAAAACTTCTTGAGGATAAGCCATGGGGAAATGATCAGAAGTCAAAGAAAATAGAAGAATAAAGAAAACACCCCAGCTTGGTCCCTTAAATGTTCCTTTTATTTGGTATTCAGTTCAAAAGGGAAGAAAAACATTAAACACCATGGAATGTGGCCAGCCTAGGCTGTGAAGAGAAGCAGTATCTGGCACTGTGGATTATTTCTGCTGACAATCTGTGACTCTGCAAGTGGATGATATCCTCAAAGAAGTCAGAGTCAAGTTGCCAGGTTATATTTCCCACAAAGCCTTGAGAAGGCTCTTCTTGACTCTTCTAGTGCTGCCTTTTAGAATAGTTGGAGATACAAAGTATTTTCTCACGAGTCATCAAAATCAACTTCACTTTTCTAATGGTATTTTTGTTATGTGTTAGTCATCATCTGATGATGGAGAAGTATGAGGAAGGTCAATGTCATTGAACTACATCTCTAGAGCTATTCATCTGATGAGGGCAAAAGCTAAATTCATATTTTTCCCCCTTTCTTATAGGTGTCATCCTGGGGGCAGTATGTGGAGGGCTTCTTCGCTTGGCATCTCCTATCCACCCTGATGTGGTTATGTTAATAGCCTTCCCAGGGGATATACTCATGAGGATGCTAAAAATGCTCATTCTGCCTCTAATCATCTCCAGTTTAATCACAGGTAAGACCACCTCTGTGGCACCGGGCCAAAGCGGGTCATACTCCCACTCCAGCTTTTGGATTGACCATAGATTCTCAATTTGGTTGAATCAGTGAATGTGATCATCTGTGTCATTTCACTTCAGAGCCTTGGTTTTTCCTGTCTCTAAAATTGGGATAAGCATCCCTAAAAATAGAGTTTGCCATCTATTGGTTGGTCCATCTGTCTGTCTAGCAATAAAAGATAAAAAGGAAATAGCCGCATGTTAAAAGTGATCATATCGAGTGATTTTAATTTTTAATGTATACTTTTCTCATTTCCCAAATTGTATTTGTTCAGAAACTGACAAATAAAGGTAACAAATAGAAAAAGAAATTTTCTCTTTACTACTTAATTGGGTGTAGAGGGAAGTGGGTATTAAAAATAAATGAAATACTAGATATGAAACCCTTCGAGTTTTTCAGAAGAAAGGTACCCTTAATGTATAGGTCATGTTCACTTGTCCTTTGGCTGAAAGAGTTGTTTTATTTGAAAGAATTTTTTTCCCCTCCCTGGGCTTATACTGATAGTTTCCTCCTTACCAAATAATATTATTCAAACAAGGTATAAATAGATGAAGTTTAGAGACTAAGCTCTGAGTTAGGGATGAAGAACTGGGCTTTGGTTTATATCTGGGTGCCAACAGGCTGGGTGACCTTGAGAAAGCTGTACCTCTGGACCATCCACCTTCTGAAGGTAGTGAAGCTCTGGTAACTCCAAGAGATTCAGATGCTACAGTCTCATAGCTGGTTGATCAGTGAATCCAGTGAGGGAAAGCTAGGACTCAGTGTCAGGAGGATCTTATCATTCAGCCTCAGATTGAGTGAAGCTATGTTTTACTTTAAATGCTCCTTTTTAAACCAGAGAAAATTTGTTCTCCATGCCTGTTTAACAAATTGTACACTGGCCAACCTGGTAAGGAAAGCTCACTTCCGTTGGCCAGAATTAGACTTCAGGTTGTAAGGCGAAACGTGTCACATGTGGGTCAGCTTCATTCAGAGAATTATTAACATCAGTGATAACTTCCTCCCCCACGGCAAAAAAGACTGATCCCCAGAAAGGGTTGCATCTCTCAGTCTAGTAAAAGCAGGAACTGAAACCAGGAAGTAGAAAAACTGAAGAAACTACTGGAAAAAAAACCCAATGAAGGCTGGAGTTTTTGTGACTTGCTTGGAATTTCCGCTAACCATCACAGAAGCTCCTGAAATATAGATGAAGCTCCCACCCATGCTGGGTGTTTTGTGCACCTGTTCTCACATCCCTACTTGAGCTCAGAAAATGTGGTGTCCATCAAGTTTCACCTCAGGGGAATGAGAAGGCTGTGCTAGAATCACTTTTCCAGACTTTTGATTTCATGACCAGTAATGTATTCAAGAGACGTTTTGAAAACAGGGCTACCAATCTTTTATTTTCCTAAGCGAGGACATTAAAACCAACAAAAAAACCTAGCATGTACCAGGACCACCACTTCATAAAGAAAGGATAGCTTAATATCAAATAAATGGGAAGGACATAATCTCAGAATCAAAAATTGAAGAGAGTATTCAATTTTAACTCACTATTGCAGACTGACAAAAAGTAGTCACCAACCAGTTTATAAACCCTGAACCAGATGTTCTCCAACTCTCCCCAGTTCTCTAGAATCTCAAAAATATCCTTGGAAAATTGAATCGTAAACTGTGGAATTGACCAAATATTCAGGTGAAGAAGCTTTAATTAACCATTAATACGTTTGAGTAATACGAAGCCGAGGGTTGGTTATAGGTATGCAGAGAGGGGCTAGTAACAGGAAAATAACAGAACTAATAATTCTGGATTTCTTTTCCATCCAGGGTTGTCAGGCCTGGATGCTAAAGCCAGTGGCCGCTTAGGCACGAGAGCTATGGTATATTACATGTCCACGACCATCATCGCTGCAGTGCTGGGGGTCATCCTGGTCTTGGCTATCCACCCGGGGAACCCCAAACTCAAGAAGCAGCTGGGGCCTGGGCAGAAGAACGATGAAGTGTCCAGCCTGGATGCCTTTCTGGACCTTATTCGAAATCTCTTCCCTGAAAACCTTGTCCAAGCCTGTTTTCAGCAGGTAACCTAGAGTTCTGATATCCATTGTTCTCCAAACTCCTAAGTTACAAAGGTGGTAACTTAGAGACTGTTTCAACAAATCAGCTCTGGGGGGTAACTTTTTTCGTATTTATACTCTGCCTAGGGGTTGTATGGGGTCATCTGGGGCAGGAGTTTAGGCTTGGAGTCGTGTTGTCTTTGTTGTCTTAAGCTTCCCTTTCTTTTGCAGTCCACTTCATAACATTTAGCTCTGGGCTCCCTCGTCTCCTTTTTTTCTTTGATCTCTTTTTCTTCTCTTTGGTTCTTGTCTCTGTGTCGTCCAAGGGGACATTTTGATCACCCTTGCCCACAACTCTCTAGAGTACTCAGTGGTTCTTGATCTTAGCAGTATAACAAAACCACATGTGGTCCATTTAAAAATGCACGTGCTCTACAGAATCAGAATCTCCAGGGTGGGCCCGGGGACTGGGTATTTGTCAAATTCTGGTAGTAATGCATGAGGATTTTGGAAAGTTTATAGATGCACATAAAGTAAAAATTCAAGTCCCCACGTCGCTTCCCTAGAGCTACTCATGTTTCCTCCTGTATATTTTCTTTGTCACATACGCGTGTGCATAAAATTAAAAAAAATTCAGCTCTGGTGGTGCTGCATCGTACATACTGTGTCACACCTTGCCTTTTCGTTCAACAGTGTTTTAGCGTCATCTCTCTCTTTCGTTTTTCATTGTTGTGTAGTATTTCTAAAGGATAAATTCTAGAAGCAAAACTGTCCTGCCAAAGAGTTGATATTTTGAATTTGCTGGATGTTGCAAAAATAGCCTTACAAAATTTGTATCGATATATATGTTCCTACCAGCTGCACACAGGCATATCTAGTTTTTAACACACGACTCTTAAAACCAGTTGATTCTGCTGGGTGTGTTACCGGTAGACCAGGGTTCTTGGACTCTTTAATCAATAGAAATTGATAAGAGGCCAGACGAGAAGTTCAGGCGAGGCTTTTTTGGACTTGTGCTGCCGTACAGCGAAAACAAGTAACAGCTTCCCTCGCTCCCTCCCTGGGTGGGGGGCGGGGCCGGCAAGCTGGTCCCTTGAATGGGGTGAGGGTGAGGATGGGTCCAGGGCTTAGGCGGGAGGGGTGGCGTGCCCACCCCCTTGGTGGTGCCATGGGCAGCTTTTGCTTTTGCTCCAGATACCTCAGAAGTGGCAGCTGGGGTTTGGGTCTTTTTGTATCTGGTTGTTCATAATTTGCCCCAACTGCGCATGCACGCAGTTATTTTTAGTCCCTTATCGTTTCTTTGTATCCTGCTGTCTGGCCAGGTGCAAGCACTGCAGCAAAGAGTCCCAGATATCCCGGGTCCCAGATCCCAGCCTCTCTCAAGTGGAACCACTGAGTTAGCTGCCCAGGCCCCCCTCACCAGCCTGTTGTCTAGACCTAAGTTTAGGTTCCAATACACCTCAGTTCACATTAACTCAGGTTGGAAGTAAACTAGAATCAAGGAACCTCCTTCAACCATTTCCAGGGAATCACAGAAGAATACATTGAGGAAACAGGTCGCAGAGAAGAAAGTCTGCATTCCCAGCTGCCCCCAAAGTGCCATTGCCCATCACTGCTGAGCCCAGTTGACTCTGGATAAATCTGGAATATGGTCTCTGATTTCCAACACCACTTCAGAGGCACTTGTAGCAAGGAGCTGTATTAAAGGAAACATTCCAGGCAGGGGAAGTTGGGTGGGGAGTGAATAGAAACAGGCCAGGGAAGGGGTGCTTACCGGTACCCTCTCTGTGCAATGTGCCTGCCCCTCAGCCAGCCTGCTTAGAAAGGTGAGTTTGCTTGCTTTGGGGTGATAGACGCAACCGGGTGCCAAGTCTATTCTTAACGTTTTGGAAAGAGCGCTCTGGAGCTGTAGCAGCTGGAGGCTGAGCTGGTAGGAGTCTGGGGGTAGGAGTAGCATCGGAAGGACGGGGAGGGACAGGTTTGGGCCTCCCTTCTGTGCCCCATCACGCCCACGCTGCATGCAAGAAGGAGTCCCTTTCGTCTGAGTCAGTGAGGCAGAAGTGAGAAGCAGGCAGCACTCAGAGCTGTTGCTCTGGGCTGGGGTGAATTTCTGTGGTGTCAGCCATGCTTATGCTCCCTGACCTGTCTGGTTGATGGGCAATCTCTAGTGTCCCCCAGGGCAAGGGGCACTGGGGGACACTAGAATAGAGGACCACGCCATTCCCTGCCTCAGCCCTGCCCTGGACCCACCCCTCCACTGACAAAATTCATCTGAGGAGTGAGCCCTTAGTCCTCCAGCTAGAAGCCCAAGGACATGGTCCTTTGGGTTAGGACACTCAGAGAAATAATCATGTGGAATATTTGACCACAGGGTGAGGGAGGGTGCAGCTTCCTTAAGCCAGACTCCTGGCAGCCCAGAGGAAAGGAAGCTTAAACTAGGTGCAGTCGGCAGGCTTAGGAGGGCCTTGAAGAGGGTTGGAAGAAAAGGAGCTCTTTGACGGTGACATGGAATTACCAGAGAAAAGGGTGCTGGGTGGTGCCTTCCGTGCCCTTGGGGTACAGCTGGGAGTGGTTTCAAATAACCTCTCTTGGGTGGAGGGAGCTTCAGGACCAGAGTTAGACACAGAGACATAAAGAGAAAGGCGTGCTGTCTCCAGTGCAGAGGCTCCCCCCACAAAGGTGGCAGGACCTGTGTCTCTGAGAGCAGGGAGGCCTCCTGTTCACTGCTCCGGGCTGACTCTGAACCATGGTGAGGTTTCCAAGGTGGCAATGGGCTGTCAGGTGTGGCCTGACCACATTCATCAGGCCCAGTGAGAGTGACCACATGGGGTCCTTTCTTCCGGGGAATTCACTGAACTGGGTTTGCTCCTTTGGCCGATATTTGGGTGCACAGGACGCCACAGAGAATGAACCAGGCGGGCTCCCTGCTCAGTGGAGCTGACTTACATTCAGGGACTGCGGGGAGATAGACCAGAACAAATGTCAGGTAAACGCACAAGGTACTTAAAAATTAAGGTAAGTGCACTCTGAGAGCTGGAGCAGGCTGATGGGCTAGTAACTGGGGGAGACGTCTGAGCTGAGATGATAAGGGGTCAGAATGAGCCAGCCCGGGGCTTCCCTGGAGGCATAGTGGTTAAGAATCCACCTGTCAATGCAGGGGACACGGGCTCAAGCCCTGGTCTGGGAAGATCCCACATGCCGCGGAGCAACTAAGCCCGTGCGCGACAACTACTGAGCCTGCGCTCTAGAGCCCGTGAGACACAACTACCAAGCCCACGTGCTGCAACTACCGAAGCCCGTGCACCTTGAGCCCGTGCTCTGCAACAAGAGAAGCCACCGCAACGAGACGCCCGCGCACCGCAACGAAGAGCAGCCCCCGCTCTCCAGCAACTAGAGAAAGCTGGTGCGCAGCAACGAAGACCCAAACGCAGCCAAAAATAAATAAATAAAATAAATAAGTTTATTAAAAAAAAAAAAAGAGTGATCCAGCCTGAGGAGAACTGGGGGAAGAGCCCGCTAAGCAGGGGCAGAGGCTCATGGAGGTTGGCAAGCACTTGGTGAGAAGAGAAGCAAGGCTGCTGCTTGGGGAGTGGAGTGGGTACAGGCGGACCTGGCAGGCCAGGGTCAAACTCTGGTTCTTATTCTAAGAGTTTAGGCAAGGAGATGACTGTTTTTCTATTTCTATTTTATTTATTTATTTATTTATTTTTGCGGTACGCAGGCCTCTTACTGTTGTGGCCTCTCCCGTTGCGGAGCACAGGCTCCGGACGCACAGGCTCAGCGGCCATGGCTCATGGGCCCAGCCGCTCCGCGGCATGTGGGATCTTCCCGGACTGGGGCACGAACCCGTGTCCCCTGCATCGGCAGACGGACTCTCAACCACTGCGCCACCAGGGAAGCCCTGTTTTTCTATTTTTAAAAAATCAACCTGGTAGCTCTGGATATAGACAGAGCTCCAGGTAGCTACTTACCTGGGGATCGCATGTAGCCAGGAAGAGGAGATGAGTCAGTGAGCAGGCTTTTGCAGGTTTTAAGGTGAGAGACCCTGGTGGCTGGGACTGGAGTTGGCAGCCAGCTGGGGTTCTTCAACCCAAACAGGCTTGAACTGAGAACTCAGAGAACCCGGCCTGTCGTCCAACCTTCAACTCAGCCGCTGAGCCGTGCTCTCTGGAAGCTAGATTTTGGAGCTGAACATAACTCATTTTGAATGCTGCTTCAGTAAACTACTAGCTGTCTGTCCTGGGGTTAGGTACTCAGCCCTGTGAGCCTTGAGGGGCTCCTGTTGACACAAGAAGTAATAGTTGTCAAAGGTGGAGCAGCTGGCCGCCCCCCGATCCTGGAAGCACCATTTATTCAGGCCCACGGCCGTTACTCCTTTGAACTTGAACTTTGGCTTCTTTAGCCTTCTCAGGATAGGCCTACAGTTGGCTCTGATCCCCACTTTGTCCCCAGGAGGGTGACTCTGTTGTTCATGGAAGCTTCCCTTCAGATCCTTCCTGCGTTCTCTCTTTGTGCCAGCGTTGCCCAGACCAAGGGGACCAATGAACTGCCCGTTCCCATTCAGCTGGGGCTGCCCTTCTCCCTGCACACGTGCCTTGCCTCAGGGAATGCTATGCTTCCCTCTCTCCCAGTTAGGAGAACTGGTCAGGTCAGCTTTACTTACTCTCGGGCCCAGCTGCTGTACGGTTGGGTCCATAGAGTTTATCAGGCAGCACAGGTGGTGAAAGACCTCAGCGGTGATCAGTGCATCTGAGTTGAGGTCCCAGTTCTCCCAATAATTCTACGACGTCTGATGAGTCACTTGACTTCTCCATGCCCCCTCTTCTGTATCTATTCAGGCTTCAGCCGTCTGTCGGCGACTACGTGCCGGCACTGACGTTCTAGGATTCTGCATGACTTCTGTTTTAATGCCCCTGGAGGTAGTGTTTCTCGGGGCTTAGACGTGAGTTTTCACAGCATGCAGGGTGCCTGGCACCTTTAAAAATAGGGTGGCCGCCCAGATGTCGAGGAGTAGCGTGAGAGCTTCTTAGGGGGCCGTTTGCACAGGGATGCTTGGGGAACATTGAGCAAGGCTTGGCACCACCTCCCCGAAGGAGTGGGTGTCTTCCCACCTTACATATGGCATATGAGCCAGTGACCCTGCCATGGGGGCTGCTGGCAGCTGGCACATCTGGCAGCTACATGGAGCTTCCCAGCAGAGCCAGGCTCTGGGAGGAGCCTCAGTGAGAGTGGGCCTGTGAAGATTCCGTGCGACAGGAACCAGGCAGGGAGAAGCCAATCACCTGGATCATGAGGTGCTGATCTGACTTCCAACAAGACCCCTGCCCTCCTGTTCGTGACCAGATCCAGGACCCTCCACAGGGGCTAGCAGGGCATCCAGCTGGGTCTCACATTTGCTACTATCTCCATGGGAATGAAACAAGCAGACAGGCATCCCTCAACTTGAAGCTTGGGTCCCATTACCAATCACACTGCTTATAGTAGTTACAAAAGAATGTTATAAATCCCGTCATTATCGTGGGATGAGGACAGTCGTCTCCCACTGCATTTGTGCCATGAAGCGTCACTCTGTCAAGCACAAACATATAAAATATTCCCCGATTTCATAACCTTGTTTGGCCATTTCTTAATTATAATATTTTTGACGTATTGGGAATTCAAACATTTATGTAAGCGGCCAGGCTTTTGGTGACCTTTTACACCAAACCTCTCATCTTTATGGTTTTTTTTCCCCACTCCATTAGATTCAAACAGTGACAAAGAAAGTCCTGGTGGCCACTCCATCAGACGAGGACAGCAATGCCACCAATGCTGTCCTCTCGCTGTTGAATGAGACTGTGACTGAGCCGCCTGAGGAGACGCAGGTGGTTATCAAGAAGGGCCTGGAGTTCAAGGACGGCATGAATGTCTTAGGTAGGCACACTGGGCTTTGTCTCCTTGGGGGAGGTGCCTCTGCCGGGGCCACGTGGCCAGCTTTCCCTGCAGGTCAGCACCTAGGCATCCTGGCTTCCTTCTCAGAAAGCCGATCGCCCTGCTGTCCGGTAGGTGGAGCAAGAGGCTGTCTCTGGGGAGCGAATTCAAGGGTCACTGGGACTAAAAACTGAGAGGGGAGGGGCGAGGGAGACGGCAGGAGCAACAGCACGTGGGGACGTGGCAGCTGGACTGGGGTATGGGCGAAGCGAGGGGACTGACGTTCACAGGGCACTTGCCCCCACTTTCTGCGTGGTGTTGGCAAGTCACTCTCTCTGACTCTCCATTTCATGAAGTTACACGTCCAATCCTTTCATTTCCTAAGCGTTTCTTTTTGAGGCGCCCTTGTGTCTGTCCCAGGACTATGCTAGGCATGGGGGCTGTCCCACCCCAGCCCTCACAGTCTGTAAACAAATGTAGTGCTATCAGGAGCGAACGTGTTGGCGCTGGTGCCAAAACGAGCTTGTCAAAAGGAGACTGTCTGGCTTAACTTTCTGGGATTTCAGTGAGCTTGGAACCTTCTGAGAGTGTCATCCCAGGGGTTCTCTGGCTCTGACGTTAGACTGGTTTGTATCCAGTTTGGATCCCTTATGGACCACTCACCGGTTATCTAATCGTGGGCTGCCTCCTCCACTTCTCAAGATTCATCTGTAAAGCGGGCATGTGGTTGGCATTTCTCCTGTAGATCGTTGTGAGGATTCAATGAGATTGCGCACGTAGGCACGATGGTACGCGCCATATGCTTTATCTTGTGAGCCGCTGTCATCATTAATGGCCGGGGGTGGAGTGCTAAGCGGCTCGGTAGAAAACACCCCACAGGGGATAGAGACCCCCCATTGTGTGGGTGACTCCAGTTTGCTCACTTTACTCCCCATCCACCCTCCGGGTTCACTCCCCCACCCATAAGAACCCCCATCCACTGTTAGAATGGTGTCCCAAGACAAGACATTTGGTCATAAGCTGGGAGAAATGGGAAATCTATGTGGAAGAAGTATGTTGATCCATGCAAGCGAGATTTCTAAGGATTTGAATGAGAGCTGTTTAGAAAAGGTTGAGCTCACTTTACCATCTAGGAGATCAAATGCCCTTGTCTCTTGATAGGGGCATCCGATAAAATACAGGGTGCCCAGTTTCATGTGGATTTCAGATAAACAACAAATAATTTTCAAGTGTTAAGTATGTCCCAAATATTGCATGGGATATACTTGTACTAAAAAATGTTTTTCATTGTTTTTCTGAAATTCAGATTTTAGCTGGGAGTCCTTTTTGTTTGTTCTAAATTTGGTAACCGTTCTCCTTACTTATCCAGAACGGTGGAGAAACAGAGGCGGAGGGAGAAGGATTGCCTGACCAGTGAAAAGTGTCTTTTTCTTTGACCTGGCAGGAAGCAGAGAGTGAGGGAAGAGATAAGCTGACCGGGTTGCCAGGCAACAGAAGATCAATAAACATTGCTGATAACCAGTGAGAGGCGAGAGGAGGAAGGAGTGAGGAGAAGATAGGAGAGTTCCTCTGAAAAGGAGGGTTTGCAGATATCCTCAGCATCCAACCCTGAGTGGCTCTTCTCTCCCACTGTCCACATATCTGTGACCCTTTGAGGCATTCCCAAATCACCTTGCCCCACAAACCCAAAGTGGCCCCACTGTTTTCTACTGTGGCCATGAGTAATGGGGCCAGTGCTTTGGGGTGAATCATTCAGAAGACTTTTGTGGTCATTTCCAGAGTTCTGGTGGATTCTGGGAAGTCACATGACCTTTGGCTGTACCAGGGAGTTTCAACACAATTCAGGACTCTCTCAACCCCAGTGACCAAGTCTAAGAGGGCTTTGTTCAAATGAAACACCCCTGTTCCAGCGACTTCAATGAGGCAGTGTTTACAGAGGGAAATGCACAAGCTGGCTGTGGGTTTCCAAGTGCAAATTGAAGCTCTGGAAAGCTAAGGGAAGTTAGATTGTTGAGAAACTTCCCATTTACAAATCATGGCTGAAATAAGGTTCTTTCCATTGTCTTCCAAGGGCAGAGATGGTGGCCTTTTTTTTTTTTTTTTTTGGTTTTGGTTTGTTTTTTGGCTTTGGAAAGTCCCAAGGATCAAGCATTGCAAGAGTGAAGATAAAAATCCTGGCTCTGGCCCCCCACTTCTTTAAAGACTCATTTCTTTACCCCCAAAACCTCCAAACTGCTCCGGGCTCTACTTCAATCCCAACCACTTAAATCAACTCCTGTGTGAGACAGCTCCTTTCAACATCTCTCTCTGACACTCATAGAGATGGCCCGTTTCTGGTGACCCTGCCAGGGAAGCTATTTTATTCTAGTTCTTGGGGACCTTGAGACCTTGAACATTTTCTCTTAAAATTTCCAAATGGAATTAACCAAGTGATACTAGCTATTCTCAGCCAGAATGTTCACCACACACCTAGCAAACTCCTCTCCATGGGCTTGACGAGAGCCTGAATTTGATTTCCTCCATTACCACAGAACTAGGTCACTCTCTTCTGTCACTCTGATTCTAGGTCATGCTAATTCTCATTAAGCCTTTGTGTTTATGGCCAATAACTCACTTATAAGTCACTAGTTAAGCTTTCTGGCCAAGAGCTAAAAAGGGGAAATATTAACTCCCGAGGATTAACAATTTCAGTGCAAGTGCTAGATTTTTTTTGCTGAGGGGAGCAAAGGGTAGTTGAACAGTCTGGGTTGACGTGGGCTTGGTGTGGGAGGTGAGTGGTTTCGGTGACTAGAGAAAAGGTAAAAGCGAGGTTTAGAAAGAATTTTCCCCTAAGAGAATCATATTATAATGCTGTCATTTACTTTGATACAGCTCAAGACTGCAGGCATAAAAGGACGGACGCAATAGGAAATTGGATGGAATAGGGAGGGACCGGAAATGAAGTCTGCCAAACTGGGACAGGGTAGGTGTAAGGAGAGGAGGGAGAGAGAGGGAAGAGTGGATGGCCCGTACTGCAGGTCAGAGAAAAAGTCAGATGGGCAAGCAAGGGCCTGTTGCCAAGGGGACAATGGCATTGATTTATAGTCCATGCAAGCCTTCAGCGTTGGAGCCCCAAGATTGGCAATAACAGATTGGGAGCTGGGGGGCGCATGACGACTGGTTATCAGAAATCCAGAGAGCCTTCAGGCAGTAACAGGGACATCCGTTAGCCATGTAGTGTGCCCCAGTCCCTGGGAGGGTCTGGGTGAGACTCCAGGGTGAGAGGCTGAGGAAGAGGGGTGGGACAGAGTGGAGCCAGAGAAAATATTCTGGGGAGAGAGAAGCCAGGTCTTGCCTTGGAGGAGCTACCGTATCAGGCAGGTTCCCTGGACAGATACTCAGGGAATGAGGTAAAAGGTAACATAGAAATAAGACCCAAGGTTGGCTGTTGGGCTTGGTCCAGGACCTAGTGCAATTTGATGCCAGCATCAAGACCTGGGGACAGGGTTCCTCAAATCCTGCTGGCCTGGGATTAGATTGAGCCTGGGGGCTGGGGGGAGGGGGGCTGCATTTAGATGGAAGTCAAGGGATATCAAGTGAAGGGAGAAGAGGGCCAAGGGGCTAGGAAGTGACAAAGACTATGTTCTCACTTTATGATCCTGGAAAAAAAAACCACAATAAAAAAGAAAGCATTCTAACCATTTTGACCATGGAAACAATGATGATGAATTAATAAATAACAGGTTAAATCCAAACAAATTGGGTCATTTGGGGTTTCCCAACTGTTTTGGATTTTTCATTGCTTTCCCTTGGATTTTTCGAGATTCTTCCTCCTTCTCCAATTAGGCACACAGCAACAGGAAAAATATTTTATGTTTAGGATTTTCCTAGAGTGAAACACACCAGCCACGCATGAACTTGGGATAACACCAAACTAATACAGACATAACCCTGGCAGAGACTGAATTGGCTAATTGGTCTCTGCTATTCTAATATTGGCTCCAAAGTTTGCATGATAATCCCCAAGTCCCAACAAGGCTTCCTTCTTTAATCTGTGTACTAATGGAATCTGCTTCCACATGATTTCGTAAGTGAGGAGGAGAGAGAAGAGAGTACTTTTCAGTTTGGAATGAAAATGAATTCCTTTTCTGCAAGGAACTAACCTGCTTACAGTTCAACTTGCTTGTATGGAAAGTATTCAGGAAAGCCATAATCATCCAGGGGAGAAGTGTGAAACGTAATGCTTTTGTCTTTTAATGCCTAATTCATAGGGTAACAGGTGGTAAGAATGTGGCTCCACACACGGGGGATAGTAACGAACAAGGGAGAAGAAACACATACTTGGTAATTTGTCCTTCTGTGTCCTGTGATTCACCCAACAGGTCTGATAGGGTTTTTCATTGCTTTTGGCATTGCCATGGGGAAGATGGGCGAGCAGGCCAAGCTGATGGTGGAATTCTTCAACATTTTGAATGAGATTGTAATGAAGCTAGTGATCATGATCATGTGGTAAGTGGGCTTGTTCTTACTTCACGGTGGTGGCGTGTGAGATGGCCTTGGGGTCGCCAGAGGACACTGGAACCCTCCCAGCAGGAAAGAGTGGGCAGGCGTGAACCAAGCAAAGGGCTCTCCAGAAAGACTTTGAGAAAGGGATGCAAATCTCTTTTTTGGAGCTTTCACTAGAAACTGGGCTGGAAAACTATAGCCTGTGGGCCAAATCTTATCTGCCGTTTGTTTTGTATGGCCCGTGAATTAAGAATGGGTTTTATGTTTTTATTTGACTGAAAAAAAAAATCAAAAGAGAAGTAATATTCCACCACACGAGAAAATTATGTGAAATTCACATCCAGTGCCCATAAATAGTTTTGTTGGAACCCAACCATACCTATTTGTTCATGTATTGTCAAGGGTTACTTTTGTGCAAAAGGACAGAGTTGAGTAGCTGTGACCAAGACTGCGTAGCCTGTAAAACCTAAAATATTTAGTACTTGGCCCCTTACATAAAAAGGGATGGCCCCTTCCATCCCTGCCCTGGAAGAAAAGACGTTAAAAAAAAAAAAAAAAGAAAGAAAGAAAGGACAGAAAAGCTGAAAAACCAATTAGTAATCCTGAAGGCGAGCGGTATCAGGATACACTACACCAAGACAGGGCCAAGATCTCAGGGATAGGGCATGACCCAGGGTGTCTGGGAGAACCATTACGCCAGTATTCTGGTGTCCAAAAGCAATGCACCTTAGACCTGGGTTACTCGTGACTCATATAAAAAGAAAAGGCAGTTCTCAGGCCGTGCAAGAAAAAGTGAAATCACAAAAGGTTAGAATTGTAAGTGCTCTTGGAAATCTGGTCCCACTCTCTGGTTTTACAGCAGAGAAAACTGGTCCAGAGACACTAAATCCTGATTCTTTAACATCATCGTGACCACCATCATCATAAAAACTATCTTTTATTGATTTACTCTTATCTGCCAAGAGCCATGAGAGTGCTTCATACCTATCAAATGTAATCCCCACAACCCTGCAAAGATGGTGTTATGGTCCCCATGGGACAGAAAAGGCAACTGAGGCTCACTGAGGTGAGTTAACTTGCTTAAGAGTGTAGAGCTAGGGAGAGGAAGAGCTGGGGTTTATGCTGATATCAAAACCTTTGATATGTAAGCAGGTGGGGTTTTTTTGTTGTTGTTTGAATCATGTAAGCAATATTGTCTCCACTTCATTTCATGTGTGTTTATGGTCAGTGGTTCTGAAGTATAGGGAAGCCCAGAGCACAGGTGTTCTCTCCTTCACCAAGGAAATTGTGTCACCTCCAGTCACTGGAAACTTCTCGTGTCCGGTATCTCTCAGACAGAAAGATTTTTACATACGTTCATTTCAGACCCCTATGATGGTCCCGTATGCCTGCCTAGAAATAAGGCCAAACCACATGTGTGCTCTATTTGCCGCAGGAATTCCGCATTACAGATTCCCTGTGCTCCCCACCAGCCTCCCCACTCCGCCTCTGGTCCTCCTCCGATTCCACGTGTCTTCCCCTGAAATTCCACCTGCGTTCTCTCTTCTTCCTTTCCTTGACCCTTACTCCCAACTTACAAGGGCACAGTCTGTTCTCTTGTATTTTATCTCCAAACATGATGAGGTGCCTGTAGTAAATTCTTATTGAAACTTGAGGAGCGAGGGGCTCGCTGAAGGCCCCAGGGTCCTAGATCACGAAGATGTTTCCCGTGATTTCACGAACCGTATTTAATAGGTCTGGCTGGTGTTGGTCATTGCTTTCTTGTACTTTAGAAACATGGAAAGGATGCTAGTGCCGTAGTGTGTTCTTTTCGATTATTGTACTGATTCTTCAACTTCCCAGTCAATGCTAGATTTCTGCATATTTCTTTTGTGTGAAGATTTAAAGTCACACACGAGGTCATGCTGTAAAAATATTTTAAAATCCATTCTGAGCTTGCTGAGAGATTAATAAATGGTAATACATGAAGCAGAATAGGCCTCTTGGTTTTAAACCTTAGGATCTGCCTTCATTTCCTAAAATTCCTAGCAGAGTGAGCACCCTAGCTCTAGATACGCAGTCCGTTTTTCTGTCTAATGACGCCAGCGATGTGGGTAATGTATGAAGATTCCTTCCTTTATCCATACCACTGTCATTTCCACTGAGCCCTTGGAGCAGAGGGAATCTTCTAGGAAATCAGATGAGTCATGGGATAAAGTGTAGCCTCCCTTCTCTGCAGGGATGGAGTGGGTGTGGATCGAGAAGTTTCCTCTTCACTGAAACCAAATCTCCTAAAGATTTAGCATCATATCCCAGGAGATGAAGAGCAATTGTGAGTCAGGAATAAGACCTATGGAACAGTTTCTGACAGCTGTTGGGTTACCTCATCTAGGCTAACAGTCCGGAGGGTGTACTATGACGTGAGATGCCAATCCTACACATTTCTTTCATTCCTTAGCTGCTTCATCAACAAGTGAAAACGATGTGTGTGAGAAGGTTCTGGATAAAACAACCAACCACTCCTTAACTGACACTCTCAAAGCTTAAATCATCAGAGTTCTTTCATAGTCTTCTCTACGTGGTAGTAAGAAGGGTAGTAATAGCAAAATGCATCTTTGAGGAGATTACTATTATTCTAACAATAATTATTATAAAATTATAACAGAATTATTAAATTCTTGCTATATGCTCAATACTTTTTCAGTTACTGTCCTGTACCTATTATCGAGAAGATAATAATATTATAATTATTATTAAATCACAGCTAAGATTTACCAGGTTCCTGCTGTATGCTTAATACTATTCCAATACTTTACATGCATTGACTCATTTATTTTTCACAACAATACCTAGCAAAAATAGGTACTTTGGTGAGCCCTATTTTCCAGAGGAGAAAACTAAGCACAGAGATTAACTCATTGCACAGCCTAAGTAATTGGAATTATAGAGAAGCATTACCTTAATCAACTTCCATCTGACCTCAGACTGGATTGAACCCAGGATCCTCCTCTTACTAGCTGTGTGACTTTAGGTAAGTTAGAAACACTCTAAACCCCTCATCCTGCTCTGTGAAATGGATTGATCATAGAATCCATATCATAGGGTTGCTGTGAGAATTAAGTGAAATTGTGACCAATAGTTATGGAGCATTTCCTATGTGCCAGGACCTGTCTGAGCATTTTGTATGAACTAGCATTATTATTGTTGTTACACTGTAATTACCATTATTATCAATTCAATCTGTAACCCTTTGCTTCTCTGTATTTGTGAATTCCTTAAGAATCCCGCAAAGCCCTCTGTTTTTGTTTTTGTTTTTTTTTGCGGTACGTGGGCCTCTCACTGCTGTGGCCTCCCCCGTTATGGAGCACAGGCTCCGGACGCGCAGGCCCAGCGGCCACGGCTCACGGGCCCAGCCGCTCCGCAGCATGCGGGATCCTCCCTGACCGGGGCACGAACCCGTGTCCCCTGCATCGGCAGGCGGACTCCCAACCACCGTGCCACCAGGGAAGCCCCCGCAAAGCCCTCTGAATCACCAAAAAATAAGAAAAACCTTCATTTCGGTGTGATTTTCATATCCTCATTTTTTCACAAAGTACTTTAAAACATGTTTTTCAAAATTTGCAAAACTTAAATAGAAAGTAAAACTTCTCATAATCTCACCACCATAGAAACATAAAGTGAGAAATGAAATCTCTGCTCACTCTTTCAATTCTCCCTCCCAGTTAACCCACCACCACCACCATCCATCCGTCCACCAGTCCACCCATCCATCCATTCATTCCTTCACTTCCTAAATACTTTTGAGCACCTCTGCCGTGCTGACAACAATTTTAGGCACTGGTGATATAATGGAGCCTGGAGGCTCCATGAACTGACTTTCACTCTATCCTGATGAAAAGTTCTAATCCTCATATGGTAACTCCCAGCAAAAGTCACTCCTTGGATAGCCAGAACCTTTCCCTAAGTGGACTGGGAATACGGAGATTTGTGTTACTTCCTTACCCTGAGTACCGAGAGCACCTTAGGTAACTCTTGGAATGTATGTTTAAGTCTTTATTTTTTTTATTTTTATTTTTTTTTGCGGTACGCGGGCCTCTCAGTCTTGTGGCCTCTCCCGTTGCGGAGCACAGGTTCCGGACGTGCAGGCTCAGCAGCCATGGCTCACGGGCCCAGCTGCTCCGCGGCATGTGGCATCTTCCCGGACCGGGACACGAACCCATGTCCCCTGCATCAGCAGGCGGACTCTCAACCACTGCGCCACCAGGGAAGCCCATGTTTAAGTCTTTATTTACAGACTTCCAACTCTAAGTTCTCTCGAAATCTGTCCCAAACTGGCAGAGTGGTGTTGCTGTTGGCAACATGTGGGACAGAACCACAGTGGCTTTATGGCAGGACTGAGAAAGTCCCTCCACTTACCTCCACTCCAGGTGTCTGGCCCACCATCTGTCCTATGCCTGAAAGTCCCAAATTTATCACTTTAGTGGGTTAAAACCAAAGGCCTTGAATAAGATGCAGCTAAATAAAGTAAATGGTTTCCAAAGACTAACCAAGGACTATCTGTATTTCATCAGCTGCAGATCAGATTTTATTCCTGGAAACATTGATTTATTTGGAAACATTGATTTCCAAACGCATCAGAATTACCCAGGAACTTGTTTGAAATATAAATGTCCCAAGGCTAGCTCCAGGAAATTCTAACTCGATAGGTATGTGGTGGGTCCAGGGGATCCATGTTGTTTCAGGCAGGCCAGGTAATTCTGAGGCAGAAGTCTGTGGACGCACTGACTGAGTTCAGGGTATGTTAGTGCTGTGGACAAGTCTGTTTGTGGAGTAGAGAGCAGACCTGAGGGGGCATCTTGGCTGGAACCTTAGGATGACAAGGACTGAGGCGCAAAGTGGGCAGAGGCAAGAATGGGTGATGCAACAGTAAGAAAAAGATGCCACAGGCCAGTCCGGGATGAATCAGTGGCTTTGAAAATGAAGCCCAGAGCTGAGGATATAGCCAGTCTCAGGGCAGCAAGGGAGCCATTCCCTCTCCCAGCTCTGTAGTTATGTCCTTCTAACTTAGAAACTGGTCCAACAATTACTGGGCATCACTTGGCTTCAGAACACTCAAGGGAGCTCTCAGCCTCTTTATGCACTTTAGTTTATGGCTTTGTTTGCTTCATCTCAGAAACTTTAAATGGTGACCTTGAGCCCTGAACATTTGCCTTTTCTTTTCCATTGAGTATATTTTCAACGAGGTAATTCGTTCATATGGAAACCCAGGAACTCAGAAGCTCCAGCTCCTGAGTGGAGGCTTAAGCTACCTGCTTTGAAAACAGGTGCAGGGAAGTCATGACCCTAAAAAACATCATAGAACAAAGTCTCTTTCCCTGTCCTAATTAAGGCTCATTCTAGCTCCAGAGACCAAAGTGTTTGGGTTAACTAGGGCCCCTGCTTGCCATATTTATTTACCCTGACACTCTACCTTCCGGCCTTTGAATGACACTGTCCGTTGATAGTGGGGACTCAGGTTTCTCCCAGCGAGCTGAGTGCTCTGGAGATAACCTGTCACCTCCCTCTAACATTGGGCTCCGGCAGATGTGTCCTCCAGGGGTCTCTATAGCTGGTCTTGCTTGGCAAAGAGCCTTGAACACATTTTCTCTCCATTCTACAAATCGCTTGTCCTAGAAGAGCAGGAAAATTGAATGGCACCCAAAACAGCTCGTATTTGCGTTTTTCTGGACGTCTCTAAGGGGCGACTGGTGCTTGGGAAAGAATTAGTCTCCTGGTTTATGAAGCTGGATGCTTGTTGGTTTTATCAGAAAGTGCATTCTGCTTAGTTGTCTACAATCGCAGGCAACACAGAGCTGGCCCCTGAGACCACCCGACTCATCTATGAGATGTTGTGACTATGGGCACAGCAAGATAATATAAAATGGTGGGAAAGCCGAAGGTTTAATGACTTGACTCCCTAATTCCCGGGAAAGCAGCCCTCAAACATCGCCAGGCTTCACCTCCAGGAATGGAGAAACGGAGACTACAGGCTAGATGCTCCTCAGGGAGAGTAGCCACGCTCACGTAACTGACACTAGTGTCAGTTACAAATCAGCTCTTTCAGGAGAAGATTCCTCTTGAAAAAATAGTTTGCGCATAAAAACATGCGCAGTTGGGTGGCAGTAGCCTGTGAGATGCCTTAGAAAACCTCTTCAACTCAGACTTGACTCATGACGCATAGGTGATGAGGGGACGTGGGGTAGATGTGTGAAAATAGAACCTGCAAGGGACTCCTGTGTCAGAAGTCAGAGAACTAATGGCACTGACAGGGATGGGGGAGGGACTTTTGATAGCGCGTACCTATGCATGTTCAAAAACTTAATCCTCACAGCAATCCCATGAGGTTGCAGGTAGCCTCTCTACGCCTCGACTTGCACATCTGTAAAACGGGAATAAGTCACTAACCAAGGTCATATAGCTGGTAAGTGGCTGGACAAGCTCCGTGTCTCGTGTAATCGTGTACATGACTCTCGTCTACTCCTCATGGCTTTGCTTTAACCCAGGAAGTGCTTTTGCTCCAAACAACTGAAAAAACAAAAGCCACCCAATCTGCTTGCTGGCCCTCTCTATTTCCTGACTCCCCTCCCCAGGCTGGGAGCGTGACTTCATTTGCCCCACAGTCTTTCTTTCAAATATGTTCATAATTCTTAATAAGGTGTCCACGTTCCCACAAACATTTTCATTTCAGTCAGAAGTGTTACAGGCTGAACAAGTTCATGCTCTAACACCACCGGATTAGGCAATAAAAAAAGGGTGTTGCCAAACAAAAAGTATACCCAAGACGAGAGAGAGCGTGGTTAGCTGACTCAAGAGTGAGGACAACAGTAGATTCTTTCCAAGCGTGCTATAAAATAATAATAATATAGAAATATAAAATAAGTCTATTTTAGGATAGATTGGTAGAGAACAAATTGTCTGCTTATGTACAGAAAGCTACAATTGCTCCTTCAAGGAAGTGGTTTGGTTGACAGGGATGAAAACCCCCAGTGGCAGAGTTTCACAGATCTGAGATTCTTCTCCTCCTCCTTCCTGTTTTCATGGTCTTGGGCCAGTTATTTAACTTTTCCAAACGTCAATTTCCTCGTTTGCCAAACAGGCATAATGATTCCTTGGTTTTAGGGTTTTTGTAAGAATTAAGTGTGTGGATGTGTCCCCATATTCTTGAAACACGATGGATGGCAGCCAGCGTTACTCTTGGAGTAGGTATGGAAAGAAACACTTTCAGACTTGGAAGAATAAAACCACATTTTTCTAAACATGCTTCTTGGCTCAGATGGTTTTCTTGTTTGGGCAGCTCTCTCTCTCTCTCTCTCTCTCTCTCTCTCTCTCAAAGTATTTCCTAGATTCCTTCCAAGGCAAAAACAAAGCACTATCTGCAAACACCAGTGTTTGTAAATTGGTGAAACTCTAATGAGCTTTCTGAGAAGCTCTAAGTTTATTCTCAATTTTCAAGGAAGGAGATCTGGAACAGAGAAATCAAATAAGATTCTCAAAGATGTAACCTGGGTGTCTCTCAACTTTTATCTTGGTGCTTACTTAAGAGGTGGTAAATCATGTCTCCTTTAGCCCTAAAAAATTACCTGAGCAACAAAGTTTGCCTTGGGATTTTTCATCAAAGCAGGGGCCACCAGGTCCATAGGAAATATTTCAGATAATGCAGTTAGTCGGAAGCAAACTATAGCATCTATTGAATCTCATAGTCCTCTTTTGGCAACACTCTACAAGAATGCAAAGGGTTTTCCTCAGGGTGTGGTATGAAGGAGGGCCCTGATTTCAATTCTGAATCCCATCACCAGCTCTTCAATGCTTTTTTTCTTTCTTTTATGTTTTTCAGGTACTCTCCCCTAGGTATCGCCTGCTTAATTTGTGGGAAGATCATTGCCATCAAGGACTTAGAGGTGGTTGCTAGACAACTGGGGATGTACATGATCACGGTGATTGTCGGCCTCATCATCCATGGGGGCATCTTTCTCCCCTTGATTTACTTTCTAGTGACCAGGAAAAACCCTTTCTCTTTTTTTGCTGGAATTTTCCAAGCTTGGATCACTGCCCTGGGTACCGCTTCCAGGTAGAGAACACAAGAAATCACTGTTGTTTCTCTCTGCTCATTCCTTTTCCTTCTTTGTCACTTCCTCTTTTTCAAAACCTTCCCATCACAGCGTTCAGTGAGAACACTTTTCACATATGTTTAAAATATTTTTGAAAAAGTGGAACATTTTAGATTCTTCACTCCTTTTAGGAACTTTTAAGCTTTCTGATGAACTTTTTGCTGGTATGTAGCTGTCTTGGAACTATGATCTCATATTGTTTCCCAGGTGAATACATGCTATTCATCTCTAGACATAATTTGCCACATATAGCATCAGTTCAGTTTTAAATGTTTTCCAAAAGGGTGTAACAGGATGTTATTTTATTTAAGAAATTCTCTCACTTGTGATTTGAGAAAGGCTATTATATCACTGTACTGGAATAATTTTTCAAAAGTAGGAGAACAAGGTTTTGCAGGGTAAACGGTAGGTTAGGTGAGATTTTTCAGACAAACCGGAAATCAGACAAGTCTTTGAACCTGTAATGGAACTACTCTGCCCCATTGACTTTGAGGAAAGTCAGGTTGGCATTGATTTGACTTAACATTGACCGAGAGTCAGTTCCTTCTTCACTACCTAGTCCCAGTTCCTCCCAGAGGCCAGTGAGGACTCCAGAGATGTGCAAGCAAAAAAGCCTCTTTTTTTTTTTTTTGATATCATCTTGGACTGAATTTAGCAAAAATAAAACCAACAACCCAACAAAAACAGATACATAAGAAACAGCCAGCAATGTAGAATTTCAAAGACTAAAAGAGTTTTATTCTTTCAGCCTGCAATAGTTGCTTTTATTTCTGCATGTGTATCCTTGGGTCACAAAACAAAGACTGAGGCCATAAAGCAGGTGGCAGGGAGGCAAGTAAACTCTGCAACCCATAGCTCAGCGTTATCTCTGGAGTCACAGGTTGGCAGGTCCTTGTTACAGAACCCATGACCACTCACTGCCAGGGAGGCAGCCGCTCTGTGACACAGGGAGACTGCTTTTTTTTTTTTTTCCAAAACTACTGAGCAGTCAGTCAGGTTTTTCTTAAGTGACCTAACAGGCCAATAGTGGTGACAACCTGGGAAAGCCAAATTATATTTCCATCTTGCAAATCAGTGAGAATTCTGTACTAGTAGAGTGTGAGGTTTCAGAAAAAGCGAAAATCTATACAATTCGGGAGATCTAGATTCTGCATTCAGTTTCCCAAGATGAAGGGAAACACTTCAAAATTTTCTTTTTCCTTCTTGGTCCTATACATTTCTTATCGCTAAGTATCTCTATCCATAAAGATTTTCTCATTTTGGTGAAAAAGTTAACTTTTTTTTCAAAAATAAAAACAATCATGTTTAGTTTTATTTTTGTTTTCTGGTTATGAGCATGGTATTTGGTCATTATGAAAAAGTTCAGACAGTGTATAAAATTTTGGAGGAAGAAGAATGGGCAACACCACTGATAACTGGTAGTAACCTTTTTGTTAATCTTTACAGTTATGTACATTTCCAGGTCTTATTATGTATAGATATTGTACACTGCTATTTTCACTGGTCAACATATCATAAAAGTTATGTTATATCTATTAATATAGCTCTTACTATATCTATTACTACATATCTATTACTACTATTTTTAAACTTCATAATAATATACTGTAGGTACTACAATACATCCCCCACCCCAAATGTACATTTAAACCTTGTCTATTAAACAGGGCAGTGACAAGCATCCTTGTAAATACATTTCTGCAAGGATGTTTGGTGATCCCCTCGGGATAAATTTCTAGAAGTGGAATTTCTGAATCCAGTGGTAAGCACCCTGATGGTTTTGAAACATGTCACCAGATTACTATTTAGAAAAGTACACTCATTTATGTACCCACAAACTGGGTACGAGTGTGCCTTTATTCACCTGCTCATCAACACTGAACATTATCTGTCACTTTAATACTTTCAAATCCTATTGGTGAAAAGTGATCTCACTGAATTTGCATTATTTTGATTACTAGTGAGGGGAAACATCTTTTTTATGTTCTTTTTGACCATCCTTCCCTCCCCTCTTCTGCCCTGTGAATTGTTTGTGAGCTTAATTTCCTGTTGGGGTGTTTATCCTTTCCTGATTGGTTTTCAGCTCTCTACATGTATAGAAATATCAACTCATGTGTCATATGTTGTAAATAGTGTCCCCCTTCACTTGACATTTGTCTGAAAAACTTACAGCGCTTTTTTTTTTTTTTTTTTTTTTTTGCGGTACGCGGGCTCTCACTGCTGTGTCCTCTCCCGTTGCGGAGCCCAGGCACAGCGGCCACGGCTCACGGGCCCAGCTGCTCTGCGGCATGTGGGATCTTCCCGGACCGGGGCACGAACCCGTGTCCCCTGCATCGGCAGGCGGACTCTCAACCACTGCGCCACCAGGGAAGCCCTTACAGCGCTTTTTGCCACTAGCAGGTTTTAATTTGTATGTAGTCAAAGTCGTCAGTGTTTTCCTTTGGTATTTAGAACTTTGATTTTGCTTAGGGATATCTTTTCTGCCAAAGATTATAAAATATAACTTTATATTTTCTTCCAATACCTTTATGGTTTTGATACTACACTATTTCAAAATATTATCATTATCTTTTCTTTTGAATGACTAGACAATTATCCTAGCCCCTTTATAAGACAAAGGTAAATCTTAAAAGCATAGGGGAAACCCAAAATCATATTTAAATCAAAGACAAAATCTTGGGTTATCTGACCAAGACCACAAACATTAGACTCATATCTCCCCCTTGCCCTGTATTTCATCTGAAAAAAAAATATGGTTTTAATCTTTGGTTAAAATGTGGCTCTTGCCTAGATGAGGAATTTCTTTTTTAAAAAAGTCACTGTAGCAGGAGTCAGGTACTAAGAATTAACTCAGGGTTTATTTGCCCTTATGACCACAGGGGAAAAGCCCTGGGACAGCCAGCGCTAAATATACTTTCCACCTCCTCAGACGTTGGACTGAATGGGGATGTGCAGGGGAAGGGTTGACCCCGTTTTCTCAATAGGCACAGAGGCTGGTGTCAGGGCAGCTGAATGGAGTGGGGATGGTCTGCGACACGTCTCTCTGCATCCCTCTGACTTCCGAGTGCGCTGTTAAAACTAATCTGGATAAAAACAAGAAGAATCTCAAGTACCAGACAGTTATTATTCGTTTGAAGACTGTCATATGGCCACTGAGGCAGGAACCAAAAAAACAATGTCAGAATGTCAGCCTGTTAACACAGGAAAGAGTTAAAATTCTCAAGTCCCAGTTTGGACTGATGGGGTACATATGGATTTTTAAGACACAAAGCCTGTCCGGTAGTGACATTAAGAATATTTTCATGCCTTACCAGTTGTTTCTTCCAATCTGTTGAATTGTCTAAAGACCCTTTGATGACACTGTGGGAAAATGAATGCAGTAATGATAATGGATATGTTCCAGTCCTCCCAGCAGTGTCCTTAGATTCATACCGATGAGAATTCAGCTGCCAACCATAGCCTTGCTGCCATTTCAGGCTAGTCATGGTGTCCTGGTAACCTCAAAGGGGTCTTAGGAAAGGGCTGGGAGTGTGTGAGAGAGGAATAAAGGGACACTAACTTCTCATTAAAACAGCTGGGGCAGCAAGCCAGGTACGATGGCAGCCCAGCATGTGAATGAGGCCAGACTCCAACTTTTCTCCCTGGGTTTATAAGGCTTTGGTAATGAGAGATCTCCAAGCATCCATTTCTTCTCCCCACCTAAGACCAAAGAGGAGGCATGAGAAAGACCCTTGACCTAAAATCACAAAGAATGTTCCAGTAAGATGACTCTGGTTTCCCTAAGGTTGTTAATAGGGCTTGTGGGTCCATGGGTTGATAACATGCAGATCTAGGAGACCCTAATTTTAGAACTTTAGGGACTTTTATGGTTCTGCGTGGGCCCTGGAATCTGCATTTTACTTAGCGTGCCTGCAGCTGACGGTCCTGTCCCACTCTCTGAGAAACTGACACCTCTGCAGATGTCTTTGTCCAGCTTGGCTGGAGCCCTAATTCTGACAAGTAGAAGGAGGGAGCTATGACTAAGGCTGTAAATGCAAGAGAGAAAAATGTGCTGTCTGCACTGGGGACAGTTTGCTAACGTTTGAATAAGAGAGAAGAGAATGGACCACAGGGTACTCCCATGGCAGTTGGAATGTTCTACATTGCTTTCCATATCACTTAAACTTTGAAGCAAATCCGCCTGCCCTCCCATCACCTCTATCCACATGGAAATAATATTCTGGCTTTCAGCAACACTTACTCTTATAGGTCTCCTGTTTTAGAAGGCACAGAACATGTCAGGAGTTCTGGCCTTTGAAATTGATTCATATGGTCGTGAATTCCCATCCCATGTCTGGGAGGAGTGGGGGTGAAGTCACTCCATGTTGGGTCTTTGATTAGCTCCAGAGCACAGGCTTTTCTGCCCTATGTCATTGGAGAGACTGTAGAATTGGCAATGACCATTTATCAGGGAGCTGGACTGTCTGTGAGGGTCCCCAGTGAATTGCTAGAAGCTTGGACTCTTGCTAAATGGTCATTAACATATTTGTCCAGCCTTCTCAACATTAGCAGGCCCGGCTCAGGGCAATTCCCAGGGGCTAGATACAACCCGTGTAGTCATCTTGTTGGAAACAGTGTTTCTAGCATGAAATTATGGGTCATTCAAGAATTCCTCATTCCATCTTACTGTTGGTAGCTGATCCTTTTCTGACACTTTATTTTGGCAGCCCAATTGATGTGGGCAATCACATGGGCTTCAATATTTAATCCAAGATGGAAACAATGACCAAAGGGAAAGGAGAACTTGAAGCTCTGAGTAGATCTCAAAAGCTAGAACCAACAAAAATATTTTGCTGACTATTACCATGTTAATAAGATTGTATTTGAGACCCCAAATCAATGGGCTTTTTTATCTTTATTATTAGAATTAAATTTTATTTGGATTTTATTTTTTAAATTTTTACTGGAGTACAGAACTCTACTCAATACTCTGTAATGGCCTATATGGCAAATCAATGGTTTTTAATTTAGCTCCAGACACTGCTTTTTTCAAGTCACATTGATTGGAACAAAAGAACGAAAGCTTTGTGGTGGCATTTCGGTTTGTGCTTTGTCTTGCTTCTCTAAAATGGACATAACTCTTGTCTCTCTCTCTCTCTTTGCCCCTTAGTGCCGGAACTTTGCCCGTCACCTTCCGTTGCCTAGAAGAAAATCTGGGGATTGATAAGCGTGTAACCAGATTTGTCCTACCAGTTGGAGCAACCATTAACATGGACGGTACAGCCCTTTATGAAGCCGTAGCCGCCATCTTTATAGCCCAGATGAATGGCGTCATCCTAGATGGAGGCCAGATTGTGACCGTAAGGTGAGTGAAATGGGTGGTGTGAAGCACTGAAACAACTTTTGACCTTATCCCCTTCCATGCTAACTCCATTTCACAGAGGCCACTTGAACTGCTGTTCTCCAGTTAGAAGAATGGTGAGGGAAGTAAAGGAGAAGAGGAACTACTGGCAGGCTCAAAGGGAAGATTGGTTCAGAAGGAATCAGGCTCATATTAATGCCTTATGTTTGTATTGCCCATGTGAAATTGCTTCAGAAATTTGATATTATTTGATTTTTTAACAATCCTGTGACATTGCAAGGCAGTTATTTCTATTATTTAATAGATGAGGAAGCACAGGCTTCAAGGGGCGTGGTAGTTTGTCTGAGGCTATAATACCATCAGTAACGAGCCAGCAGGGCTGTCACTGGGGCCAACATCGACTGACTCTGGATCCAGTTTCTCTTTCATTAAAATATGTTCCCTTCAGCATTCCAAGGAGTGACGGCAAAAATGATGAAATACGGGGAGGAAGAGATTCCTCAATATAGCATAACATTATATTACAAATAAACAGCAAATATTTTTTGTTGTTTTTACTAAAGGTATTTTTACCATATGTATTCATCATTTTAAAAAATTCAGAAAGAATACTTTTCCAAGACGTCACTAAAAACACATCGCTTCTCTGCAAACTTAAAGATCACACCTACTTACATATATTAATTTATCTAATCCTCACAACCACCCTATGAGGTATGTACTTGTCTCAGTCAGCTCGGGCTGCTGTAACAAAATACCATAGACTATGGCTCAAACAGCAGATGTTTACTTCTCACAGTTCTGGAGGCTGGGAAGTCCAAGATTAAGGGGCCGGCGGGTTCAGCTCCTGGTGAATGTCCTCTTCCTGGCTTGCATATGACTGCCTTCTAGATGTTTGCTCACATGGCCCTACCTTGGTGCATGGAGAGAGAGAGTGAGCTCTCTTACATCTCTGCTTATAAGGACACTAATCCCATCATGAGGGCTCTACCTTCATGACCTAATTACTTCCCAAGGCTGTATCTCCAAACACCATCACACTGGAGGTGAGGGCTTGAACAAATGAATTCAGGGGGGACACAACTCAGCCCATAGCAGTACTGTAGGGGAGCCTCAGTTTCCTGTATAATGGGTACAATAATCATATATTCTAGTGTGGCTGAGAGCATAGTCACCTGTCAATAAATGTTAGCTACTAGTATTATTACTATTACTGATGCTTAATAAAATACAGTACTCCTAGGATATGAAAGAAAAATGTGACTATGATATAGTGAGTGCCGTGATGTTACTCAGTGGAAAACGTGCTTTGGGTCAGGTTATCAAGCCATCTAAGTCCTGTCCTAACAGATTGCATGTGAGACTGCCAATCTCCCTTGCTTGAAAATTCAAAGACAAATAGAGCTTCTTAATGGCCCTGAATTCTCCCCATTGATGAAGCAACCATGCTTCGCATCAAGCTCACACCATTAGATGAGGACTTAGAGGTGGGAGGATGTACCAGGGAGTGACCAGGTGGTTGAGACTGTGCTTGAATTATTTAAATTTATCCTTTATTTTAACAATGATACGACTGAGAATTTTCACTGGACAAAGGATAAAGTTGGGCAAATATATTTAATACTTGTGCCCCTGGCAACTTCAGCTGAATCTGCCATATCTGTACATGTCACAAGGGCTGTCTCTGGGGGGACCGCCCCCTCTCCATGGAGTGTATGTAGTTCAATGTCTTCAATTTAGTCAGAAAAATATAGCCAAGTCCAGCTTCATTGCTGTGCTTCCAAGTACATTCCTCATCTTTTCATTTCCCTGCAGGCAGGAGAACAGTGGCCAGGAATTCTCAGCAAATTCATTAAGTCATAGCGTTTTCAATGTGAGGAGGAATCAAGGGACATCAAAAGCCAGTGTGGTATTGGAATCAAGCAGACAAGTGTTCAAATCCCAGCAGACCATGTTCAAGCTGTGTGACCCTAAGTTTCTCCACCCTTCCAATCAGTGGTACTACCGTATGTACCTTGCAGGGTTACTGTGACATTCTGCTGTGATTAATGTGTGTGTGTGGTAACTTGTACAACATCCAAGAACCAGCCATAGGGAAATGAGTCAGGGGAGGACAGGAAAAGCAGGAGGGGATAAAAGGACATGGGGAGATCACCGCCCAGGGAGCTTTCACAGGACTTACAATGCCCCAGACACTCCACCTGTGGTCAGGTGAGGGTATAATTGGGATGGAGGAACAGAAAGAGAACCAGCCACCAGGAAGATTTCTTTATAGGATTTTGTCTCACACAACCAAGGGGTAACAAGACAATGTGGCCACAGTACACAGGGATGTGTAAGAGTGACTCATGTAATAGAAGCAACTGATGTAAACAAAATTGCCTAGGCCAAGATCATTGGAACTTGGGAAGCTCCCCTTCCCTGGTGTTCTATCCATCTTGGGAAAATGACTGAGAATTCCCACCTGCCATCTCTCAGGACTAAGGATGTTTTCATTGCAAAGCAGCTCCGGTTGCAATGTGCTGGCCTCTTCTAAGTGCTTTATTTCTGAGCTCCTGATGCCTCTACAAGTGAGACACCATTGTTATCTTCTTTTCTACAGATAAGAAAATCAAGGCACAAAGAGGTTAAGTAAGTTGCCCAAAGTCATGTGGTTAAGTGGCAGAGTTGGGATTTGAACCTAGGTCATTCAACTCTAGAACCTTCACTGATAACCACTACACGCTACTACCTCCTATGACCTAGATGGATCTCCCACCAAAATGGAGTTCTTTAAACCCTGACAACAACTCCATGTTAATGGAGCAGGGGAAAAGCAAAGATGGGTTCTAGATCCCACCTAGTGGAAGTGTCTATTCTGTGAAAGCCTAAATGTGGGAAGGATGGCAATGTGGAAAAACCAGTGCAAAACACAAGACCTCCCAGGACCTTTCTTTCCTCATATGTAAGAGTAAGTAAATTTGGGTTCCTCTTGACCGTAAGACCAGGATTCTGAGCTTGGACACACCAGTTGGCAAACCAGTTTGGGAGTCTGATTCTTAGTTTCAAGCCCGAAGACCTACCAAAAAAATTCTGGAATCATATAACCACAAAGAAAGCAGCCCCTTTTTTCTTTTCAGCAGCTAGAAAAGCAAGTTGCAAATCCATGTTTTCATAAGCCTCCTTCCATTTAGAAATGATGATAGCTTTTATAATTAACATCCGGAAAAGAGGAGAAAAAGTCACTGCCCTTTGCTGGACCACAGAGGCCCTCTGGTGTCTAGACAGGGCCCTTGAACCCTAGATTAAACCCTCTTCCGGAGACGACTTCAAAATGGTGCTGAGTATGCCCTAGGCATTGCTTGGAAAGCAAGGGATGAGATGCTTCAGAAGGAAAGCCTCCTGTTATTTTATTGTCATGTCTTGGCACCCTCTTTCTGAATAATGTATCTTCCAGCCCATGGTGGAACGTCCAGGCATCTGAACCTTAATGCCCTTTGGAATTCTTTTGATTTGTTCCCCCGATGTCCACTCAGTTGAGTCTGGATACTCGCTGTTATGAGTTCTCATGTTAACCTTGGCAACCTTCTCAGACTCTTGCCACGCAGACTAGAAGTCTCTGCTTCTCACAGAGACGTAAAGGGGTGAGCAGAAGTGAATGCTGTGGTGTTCCTGTGGAAGGATGAAGGGTGACTTGTTTTTCTTCTTTACTATTTCCTTGCCTGCTTTTAGAGCCATGCTTACCTTGTTTGAGCCCTGTGATATATTCAGTGAACTGGATGTCGTGATGGGGGTAAGACTCTCATCCATGAATTTATGAGTTTCCACCAAGGTTAAGCAGCATCCAAATAGACCCTATTTCCTGGGTCTTGGTCCTCCAGATTTCTTTATTCCTTGGGAGGAGAAGGGGATTTTATGATTGCCGGCAGAAATGAGAGCCGAGAATTGCCTGCCAGGGATGGTTTTGCCAAGACCACTTTCTCTTCCCTTGACCCGGCCTTTTCTGTTCTCACAGCCTCACGGCCACGCTGGCCAGCGTTGGGGCAGCCAGTATCCCCAGTGCCGGGCTCGTCACCATGCTCCTCATTCTGACGGCTGTGGGCTTGCCGACCGAGGACATCAGCCTGCTGGTGGCTGTGGACTGGCTGCTGTAAGTGTCTGTGTGTGTGCTTCTGCTGGGGATGTGAACACTGCCTCCCAGGGGTGGACAAGATGCAGGGCTGCAGCCAGGATCTTCACCAATCCCCCTGAGAACTCCCCTGTTTCCCTCCTCCTTTCTTCCTTCCAACATCTGCTGAGTGCTTATTTGGGAACCAGAGAAGGAAAAGAATCTGTGAGGGCTTCAGAGTCTAGCGGAGGAAGCAGGTAAATTATAAGACAAAGTTAAAAGCAACGCTATAATGGGGGCTGCCCTGGTGGCGCAGTGGTTGAGAGTCCGCCTGCCGATGCAGGGGACACGGGTTCGTGCCCCGGTCCGGGAAGATCCCACATGCGGCGGAGCGGCTGGGCCCGTGAGCCATGGCCACTGAGCCTGCGCATCCGGAGCCTGTGCTATAAGGGACCCTTACCAAAGCAGGCAAAGGATCTCAAGGCACTATGCTGAGTGAACGAAGCACAAAGGAATATATACTGTATGATTCCATTTCTATGATGCTCTAGGAAAGACAATATAATCTCTAGCAATAGAAAGAGATCATGGTTGCCTGGGCCCAGAAGTAGAGGCATGAGGATTGACTGGGAAGGGCACAAAGAAAGCTTTAGGAGGGATAGAAATGTTCCACGTACACAGGTATGCACAGGTGTCCACATTTGTCGAAACTCACCATACCACACGCTTAAAATGGGTACATTTTATTGTATGTAAATTACACTTCAACAAAGTAGATTTTAAAAGAGCACACACATAGAAGAATAGCGACGGAGACAGACACACATCCCAGTCTAGGATGGAAGGGCAGAGTGGAGAAGTCAGAAAACAAGGAAGATGGCTGCTGAGTTTGAGGGCCTACGATGCGCCAGCTGCTGCGTGGAGCCCTTCGCCGCTGCCTCTAGCAACCGCCATTTTATAGATAAGAAGCCTGAGGTTTAGGGAGAATGAGTGGAGGTTGGGCCCTAGGTCTGCTTGGCTTTGGAGGCCACCAATTCATAATCATGGCCGCATTCAAGCTTCTAAAGGCAGTGACAGCTGAGCTGGATCATAACGGGTAAGTAGAAGTTACCCAGGTGTCCATAACTGTGTTGGGGGCAATAGGACTTTCTGGTCAAGGCCAGCCCGCACAAAGGCACGGAGGCAACAAATCGTATGGGGACCTATGAGTGGTTTGGTATTGTTGGAGCACAAAGTGTAAGGCAAGGAGTGGTAAAAGGTGAGGCAAGATGGACAGCCTTGAGGCCATGCAGAGATGCTTGAACTTGACAGTGTCTACATAGCCCAGCTCCCTTTCCCAGTGAAGGGCATTGTCCTAGTGTGGGACTCTCAGCCCATTCCCAAAGGTGGGTCAGTCTAGCCAGATGGTCCCCCAAAAGGAGGTTGGAATCAATTCTTGCTAAGGTCTCACTGGGGCTCTGATATTCTATAGGATGTACACTGATACTTCTGGTCCAGCACTGGAGCTAAGTGACAGGAGCTGGGGGATGCCATTGGCTTCAAAGTCAGAGGCTCGGAGTAACAAGTGCAGAGATCCAAGGCCAAAGTGCTCACACTTATTTTCTTTTTATTACCCTACATTCCATTAGCAATCTTTCTGACATTTATTGACAAAGATTTTAAGAGCCAGAAGCCACATTTTATGGACTTGAGTTTCCTCGATGCTAAAACAAGTTGCACTCTTCTACAACCACCCTTCCAAAGAGAGAAACGTGCAAGTGACTGAAGGGAAGAAGGACATCTGGGAAGGCTAGAAGGAAGCCTGGTCTTTCCAGAAAGCTTGCTTGCTGTTGAAGTTTAGGTTAGAACTGAGACGTGCACTGAATCTGTTCAACTCAGGAGGGCTGCGAGGAAGGGCACGGATCTTCCTGACTGGTTCTTCCGTCACCAGAGAAATGCTCTGGAAATGCCTTTAGTGGGAAGGTGACGAGCAAAGGAAATGACTCTTATCTGTCCCTGCCCGTCTCAGGCGGGGGTGGCGGGGTCCTCAGCGCCACCTTGGTTGCTCTCTGTGCCCTACGCTGGCCCCAAGGGGCAATCTTTCTCATGAGGTCCATTCAGACGGGGCAGTCATGGGGGCAGCTGAGATTCGGTGGCAGTGAATCGTGGAAGGATTTGGAGGGAATAGGATGGAGACAGAGGGGTGGGGTTGGATTTGGTTAGGAGGAGGACAAAGAGGAAATGAAGACAGTGGCAACCGCTTGGGGACAGAGCACACAGCAGGAGCTCAATAAATGCATGCTAAAAGTCACCCACAGAGCTGCTGCGTGATAACCAGGGGCCTTTCTACACATGAAGAAAGACAGAGGAAGCTATTAAAGTCCCAGCTGCTTCCCTTGTGGCTTCGGCTTACTGAGCCCCCTGCCTCTTTGCCCCTTGAACTTTCGTTGTCATCGAGGGTCCTTTGCCTGCTCCAATTACATTGCCTATTCTCTTCTTGGGCTTGTTGCTGAGGCTTGAAATCCACCATTAGAGATTCATCTCTTTAACAGTTATTATTATAGATGCTGCCTCCATTATAATGCAAATGCATTTAAGTGGAAAAATGTACTTGTGTTATCAGGAATGAAGGAAAGGAGCAGATATTTGGTGGTACCACCATGCTCTTTTTTTTTTTTTAACATCTTTATTGGAGTATAATTGCTTTACAATGGTGTGTTAGTTTCTGCTTTATAACAAAGTGAATCAGTTATACATAAACATATGTTCCCATATCTCTTCCCTCTTGCATCTCCCTCCCTCCCTCCCTCCCTATCCCACCCCTCTAGGCGGTCACAAAGCCCCAAGCTGATCTCCCTGTGCTATGTGGCTGCTTCCCACTAGCTATCTACCTTACGTTTGGTAGCGTATATATGTCCAGGCCTCTCTCTCGCTTTGTCACAGCTTACCCTTCCCCCTCCCCATCCATACTCTTTACATCAGTTTAAAGTTAATCCTTAAAGATCACTATGGTGTGTTTAACAGATGAGGAAACTGGGCATCAAAAGGCACAGGGGAGCTTGTGTGGCCAGGTCAGGGCCCTTCACGCCACCGCACACAGCATCCTAGTTGGTACCCAGCAGATCTAACAGTGGGGAGGAGGAACAGAGGGGTCCAGAGTCAGAGACGTTGGGGAAAACAGACCAATTCGGGTCACCCCCGGTTCTACATGCTAATCAGAGAATTTTTTGTTTGACCTGGTTTTTCCCCTCTCCCAGGACTAAAACAAAACAAAACAAACAGGTTAAGTGGGGACAAATGGGATACAATCAAGGTCTCAGCCACTCTTAGAATTCAAGTCCTCCAGCCCCACCCCCCCAGGTCATTCACTGTGGGCCCTGTCTTTCTGACAGTCATGTGCTTCCAAGCCTGTTGGAGGAGAGTCACCTCATGAAACATTCAAGACCCTGTCTCCTCCTGACCTAAATGTTAGCGAATGGGCGCTCAGGTGCTCACACTTGCACCCAGAGCAGGGCGTCTCAACTCCGGGGCTGAAACGTGCTGGCAGAACAACAAGAAAATGATGATACATTTGGATTAACTCTACTGATGAAATTGCATTTGAGAAAACTCTACCCCAGGCTGCAGCTGGAAAGGGAAGAGTGATTGAAGGCTCGCCTCGAGTTCTGGGGTCTGATCTCAGATGGAAAGAGGCCCCGTGATCAAGGGAAGAAAGGCAGAGGCAGGAGCCCTGGGTCTGAGCTCTGCACCTGGTCGCTGTGGGGCTGCGGGCGAGTTACTCACTCTCTGGATTCAGCTGTGTCGTGTGTACAATGGGAACAGTAACTTACCGGCTTGGAAGCACAGTCTAGACCCCATGCCCTTGAGTGCCCTTCTAGTTTTAAGACCCAGACTAGGCTTCTGCTGGTGACGGATGTTTGTATACAATAAGCATGAACGTTCCTTTTCAGAAGCAAAGAAGAAGGGCGGGTAGAGGATCCTGGGAAAGTGTGCATAGGGGTCTGTAGCTAGGTCAGATCTGCTTTGAATTAGGAATGGTTCCACATTCTTTGTCACCAGCAAGAGGAGTTCTGGAAACACGCTCTTGGTCATGGGCGCCGTGGCTGTTGGGTGCCCATCAGCGTGTGAGTGGGGCAGGGGCATGAGTTGAGAGAGGGGGTGCAGGGATTCCCTGGTAACACGTAGTCTGTGGAGGGAGAGCAGAGACAAAGAACAGGGGGGCGTTTCTTTTCCTCCCCAGGCAAGGTTTGTAAGCTTTCAATTTGTAAGCTTTCAACTTTTCAATTTAAAACCAAACAAAGCCCGCAGTGACATTTAACGTGCCAGAGTGTTTGCCAGCTGCTGGAGATCAGCCAGCCTCATTACTGCCCGCCGAGCCCTGGACGTTTTTCAATGAACAGGCTTAGCTGCTCTGTAAATGTCATGGTGGAAACCAAGATTCTGAGCCCTGAAAAGTATCCGAGTCCTAGAACACCGGATGGGTGGGGCTGGTAAAAACAGAACCTTCCCCAGAATCTAAGAAGCCCTTTGTAACAGGAGTCCTTGGCAGGTGTTTATGAGATCTTGTGACACCCCTCTCTCTCTGAAGGATTCAGGATGGAAGGAGAACTGTGGGCCAATACCAGGAAGAGATGATAAATAACTGGGTCTGGGAAAAGGAAAGCCAAGTGCATCTATGGCCCACTTATCACATGGGACTGCTAGTGAGATTGTTCCTGGGGACATATTTGCTCATGAGGGGGTATACTTGAGACGGCACTTATAAGGAAGCCTGAGGGCGCCTCCACCCTGCAGCGGGCATTCAGAGGCTCCCTCATTAGCCTCCCAGGATGGAATGGAGCATTGGTTCGCAAACTCGAGCGTGCACCAAAACCTCGTGGAGATTCAGGAGATCTGGGGAGGGGCCCGAGAAGTAGCTTTTCTAACAGGTTCCCAGGGGATGCTGATGATTGGTCCAGGGACCTGACTTCCAGAAGCAATGGACCAGAATTAGGGAGCAGCAGCTCCTGACTGTAGCATATGAGCATCTCTACTCTTTTTTGAGCACTGGTTGACATCATGTG